TAGTAGTAGTTGTGTGTGTGTGTGTGTGTGTGTGTGTGTGTGTGTGTGTGTGTGTGTGTGTGATATGCAAGGTGAATAAGAATATATTTTTCCATACAGGATGTGAAGAACTGCAGAAACTTGACCTGACAGCAAATTTCATTGGAGAACTGTCCAGTATTGAAATCCTAAAACATAACATACATCTTAAAGAACTCTTTCTGGTGGGGAATCCATGCACTGAGTTTGAAGGTTACAGACAGTTTGTGGTGGCAACTCTTCATCAATTAAAAGTATGTGTTTTTTTTAATGGATTTGGATCCAATTGAGTATCTAAAAGTGATACATTCCTCCTTAATGCTTGGAGTCAGAATTGTTCACTGAACACACTAATACAAAACAAAATTACTGCTTGTGATAGGAATGCCCTGCTTGTTGTCCATAGGAAATTAAATGCTTCCATAAAGAAGAACTGATATTGATAAATAACACAGTTATGATAATGGCTTAGCCAAAATATATATTTTGGCTATCTTTTATGTTTTTATCAGAGATCTTTGAATGAAGTCTTGTTTTTTCTTTTCAAAGAATTCTAACTCTCAGGAGGGAAAACATACTAAAGGGTTCTAATTTTTGTGTAAAAGAACAGTATATTTTTAGCTGATTTTCATGCATGAGGAAAGTGCTGGATTGATAGTACCAGAAATATAAAACTTCTGTAAAACCCTTTTGAAGTCAGTAGAAAGATTATAACTGACGTAAATTGGATCACACCACATATGAGATGGGTACTCTAAGCAACAGCAGGAATTACGGTATAGACTCCCAGATAGGATAACGTAAATATAAGCAGACCTCCCTATCCACAACCACAGTTTCAGGGAGAAAAGTCATTACAATCCACATATAAGCTCAGGATTTGATACACAGAAATATACAGTACCAGAAGACTTGCCGCAGTTAGATGCTGCAGTTAGATGCTGGTCCCTCATAATGTTTCTAGCTAACTCCCTAGATGGCTGAAGATGAAACTCATCCAGGCTTAAACTCTATTGACTGTAGAACTTGAGCACTTTTTCCGGCACCCTGGAGACCAGCATCTCTCTGGGGGCAATTCCCTTCTACTACATGAGGTTTGGGCACTCCAGGCCATACTGAATCATATATAAGTGGAGTCTTTAACCTTCCTAAAATGTCAGAAAGTCAGCACATATACAAGTGTTTACAGTATTTTCAATCGTATACTACATGCATTGATCCAGTTAAGATACTCTGACAGCATGAACAATGTATTAATTACAATCTTAAATGTTTCTGCTGTAGCCTAATTTACATAATACTAAGAAGTTATTGCAAGTCTTGTAGATTCTCCATTTGTATATTAAAGCTGATATAATCAAAATTAACCCAATGCTTGATGGATTTATTGATTTGCGTGTGAGGTTTTCAATTTTTGCCAATTTTATATTTTTTATTTGTTTTTTGGTTTTTTTCCGCTCTTTTGAGAAGTGGTTGGATAGTAAAGAAATAGAACGTTCCGAGAGGATTCAGGCATTGCAGAACTATCGACAAGTAGAGAAGCAAATTAGAGACCAGGAACAGGTTTACCTTCTCCAAAGGACCAGAGAAAAAGAAGAGGCCCTAAAAAAAATACAAGAAAAGCAGGAGAAGAAGAAAGAAAAACAAATAAAACCTAAACCTGGATTTGACGGACGTTGGTACACAGACATCAACAACATCAAGTATGTAAATTGATATCAGTCCTCTTCTTTTTTCTGTTTTTGATAAGGAATTTATTTTCCTGAGGAAATAATTACCTGGTACCAGGGCCGGATTTCCCATTAGGCACAGTAGGCACGTGCCTAGGCATGCTGGCATTCTAGGGGTGCATAAAAATTCAAATTTTGCCACTCCCGGGTCCCGGCAGGGGGCAAGGCCAGCTGAGGGGGAGACCACCCCATGTGGTCCTGTTGGAGCACTTCTTGCTCAGCCCGGTGAACAGAGTCACCTACCAGCAGGGCCGGTGAGTGCAGCCAGGGGGCAGGGCTTAGGAGAGTGAGTCTCTGGGGGCATTTGTGTGGGGGCTCTGGGCAGTGGGGGGTTCGTAGGGGTGGAGGAGGTCTGTGTGTGTTGGGGCCCTGGGCAGTGGAGGGTCTGTGTGGGGCACTGGAAAGTTGTGGTGGGACTATGTGGGGGGTGCTGGGCAGTGGGGAGGCTGTGGATGGAGGGGTGCTTGGCAGTGGGGCACCAAAAGTTAAAACTGGTAGGGTTCCCCCACCACCCACTGTCATTAGGAGCTCCAAGCCGCTGCAGGAAGCTCCTGGCTGCCTCCAGGTAGCGGGGGTACCCCACAGCTCCCAGTCACTGCAGGCAGCGGGGTGGGAGCTCCATAGGGTGACCATATAGCAAGTGTAAAAAAATCGGGACAAGGGGTGGTTGGTAATAGGAGCCTATATAAGAAAAAGCCCCCCAAATCGGGACTGTCCCTATAAAATCGGGACATCTGGTCACCCTAGAGCTCCAAGCCGCCGTGGGCGGCAGAGGCACCCTGCAGCTCCCAGCCACTGCGGGGGTAGGGGGCCTCTGAGCCTCTGCACCTAGGGGCGCCCAAAGTGGAAATCCCGCCCTGCTTGGTACATTACTTTTTTACATTCTGCTTTTAAAATTGTGTATGTTTGTCTTCATTGCTGATCTCACCTCTAATAGTCTACCCTCTTCATGCATTGATCCCCACATTAGGAGAGCAGAATTGATCAGAGAACAGAACAGAGGATTTGGGGATCTTTTGATTGGGAAACCCTGTAGATTTTTGTTTCCTGAACCCAGTCTACTTTGTGGCTCTAAAATTATTTGCACTGGATCCAGATGGTGGAAAGCCTGTTTAGAGTGAGAAACATTATAAAAGAATGATTGCAGTCCAGTTGCCATTCATCCTGTCTATGGATAGTAAAGTAGTATCTTGTGTTCCACGGAGACAGTATTATGGAAATTTGGGCTTATAAATGCTAATTCAGTCAAAACTTCAATGTTCACCTCTCATAGATCCAAAAGTCCTCAAAGTTATAGTGGTTTAAGCTCTAGAGAAGATTATCACTGCTGAAGCCATAATAGATTGCTTGGCTACAGTTGCCATGAAGTAATGGCTTCATTTTGCAAGTATTTGCTCTCCAAGAACACTTCCTGTCTCATACAATATTCCTATTTCTTCATATTGTTTTTATTCAGTTTCCCCCCGCCCCTTCATTTTCTTAACATTGTCCTGAGTCTTCTCATGTGTCTCATCTGTCGTCTCATGTGTCTCATTATCTTTCTGTCACACTTAACAAACACCTTTTCTTCATATATTTACACATACAGGAACTCCTCACTTAAAGTTGTAGTTATGTTCCTGAAAAATGCGACTTTAAGTGAAATGATGTTAAGCGAATCCAATTTCCCCATAAGAATTAACGTAAATGAGGGGGTTAGGTTCCAGGGAAATTTTTTCACCAGACAAAAGACTATCTATCTATCTATCTATCTATCTATCTATCTTCACACACACGCAGTATAAGTTTTAAACAAACAATTTAATACTGGTACACAGTGATGATGATTGTGAAGCTTGGTTGAGGTGGAGGAGTCAGAGGGTGGGATATTTCCCAAGGAATGCCTTACTGCTAAATGAACTAGCAATTGACTGAGCCCTCAAGGGTTAACTCTCACAACACTCTACAAGGCAGCAGGAACGGAGGGAGGGCAGACAGAGACATACACCCTGTGTGTGAGAGAAAAAATGCGCATTTCCCCTTTAAGTAGCTGACCCCAGGCTTAAGTACACTGCCTTGTTAATTAAATCAGCTTGCTGAGACCTGAGAGGGCAGCTACTGCCTAGAAGCTCCCTCCCTCCATCATGTGTCCCCCCTGCTCTATGGAAGATGGGGTAAGTGGGGTGCACGAGCAGGGGGGAGGGAGACACCTTGACATTAGCCCCCTCCCTCCGTACAGCAAGCAGGAGTCTTAGGGAGCAGCTCCAAGGCAGAGGGCAGGAGCAGCACATGGCAGCAGGGGGAGGACAGCTGCTGCACAGGGAATTTAGGGGAGTGGGGAGCTGATAGGGGGGCTGCTGGTCCACCATGGTTCCAACCAATCCACCAGCTAGCTGCAAGTGCAACGAGCTGCTCTTCCTGCAAGCAGTGGACAAAACAGGCAGCTGCCAAACGACCTTAGAAGGGAGCATTTCACAACTTTAAATGAGCATGTTCCCTAATTGATCGGCCACTTAACATCGAAACAACGTTAATCAGGACGACTTTAAGTGAGGAGTTCCTGTACTTCTCACCCCTCTCCTCAGACAACTGTCATTAGTAGGCTATCTATAAGATCAATGTGGAATCTGGGTGACTATTTCTTTCTTGATGAACGAGACATATTCTAGCTGAGGATTTGCATTCCCAATGGAAATTTCCTGCTCTTCATTCTTTCTTTTGAGCTATTCTATTGTTTTAGCACTTTATTAAAGTTCTCTGCTTTTTTTTTTGTACTGAAGAATTATGCTCCTCCAAGGTTATCTTTGCTGTAATGTCACCTTTGTAGCTATCTGATGTAATTAGGGTTAGAAGATTGATATGGTTCAGCTAGTGAGTCATTGATTCTCATCTAAGAAATCAGTCAGCAAGACCCATCCAATGAATTACTAATGCAATATAGGGTGCTTATAGTTGTCTGATGTTTGTCTTTGACTTAATCGGTATCTGTGCATATGTTGGCATTGTCATGGAGAAGTATTGAAGGAAATCTGAAGATCTAATGGTTTAAGCACAGGACTGTATGTTAGGAAAGCTGTGTTTTATTCCTTGGTCTGCCATAGACTTGCTGTGTAGTCATGGGCAAAAGTCAAGATGACAAGATGGAACCATATATTGCCATTTTTGAGTCCAGCTACTTCAGAGAAAATTAACAAGAAATGTAAATGAAACAGAACAGTTAGGTAAGCTACCCTGAGTCTTATGGAATATTCTGATATTGGTAGAGTAACTGGCTCTGTGGATGAGGGGAAAGCAGTGGATGTGTTACTCCTTGACTTTAGCAAAGCTTTTGAGATGGTTTCCCACAGTATTCTTGCCAGCAAGTTAAAGAACTATGGGCTGGATGAATGGACTATAAGGTGGATAGAAAGCTGGCTAGATCATTGGGCTCAATGAGTAGTGATCAATGGCTCCATGTCTAGTTGGCAGTCGGTATCAAGCGGAGTGCCCCAAGGGTCAGTCCTGGGGACAGTTTTGTTCAATATCTTAATCTGGAGGATGGTGTGGATTGCACCCTCAGCAAGTTTGTAGATGATACTAAACTGGGAGGAGTGGTAGATATGCTGGAGGGTAGGGATAGGATACAGAGGTACCTAGACAAATTAGAGGATTGGGCCAAAAGAAATCTGATGAGGTTCAACAAGGACAAAGACGGAAGAATCCTATGCACTGCTACAGAATAGGGACCGAGTGGCTAGGCAGCAGTTCTGCAGAAAAGGACCCAGGGGTTACAGTGGACGAGAAGCTGGATATGAGTCAACAGTGTGCCCTTGTTGCCAAGAAGGCTAACGGCATTTTGGGCTGTATGAGTTGGAGCATTGCTAGCAGATCGAGGGACGTGATCATTCCCTTCTGTTCGGCATTGGTGAGACCTCATCTGGAGTACCGTGTCCAGTTTTGGGCCCCACACTACAAGAAGGATTTGGAAAAATTGGAAAGAGTCCAGTGGAGGACAACAAAAATGATTAGGGGCTGGAGCACATGACTTATGAAGAGAGGCTGAGGGAACTGAGATTATTTAGTCTGCAGAAGAGAAGAATGAGGGGGGATTTGATAGCTGCTTTCAACTACCTGAAAGGGGTTTCCAAGGAGGATGGATCTAGACTGTTCTCAGTGGTAGCAGATAACAGAACAAGGAGTAATGGTCTCAAGTTGCAGTGGCGGAGGTTTAGGTTGGATATTAGGAAAAACTTTTTCACTAGGAGGATGGTGAAGCACTGAAATGAATTACCTAGGAAGGTGGTGGAATCTCCTTCTTTAGAGATTTTTAAGGTCAGGCTTGACAAAGCCCTGGCTGGGATGATTTAGTTGGGGATTGGTCCTGCTTTGAGCAGGGGGTTGGACTAGATGACCTCCTGAGGTCCCTTCCAACCCTGATATTCTATGATTCTATGATAATTAATTATACTACTATATAAATTGGTGTGAGGACAAAATTGCTGCAGGATCCATTGCCAAGCACTGCTACTCTTTCCACATTTCAAGGAATACCGATCTGTGTACTCTTTTCTAGCCCAGATCCTCTAGAAGACAAAGAAAACCACCTGCAGAAAGAAACAGAAAAGGAATACCAAGAATGGAAAATAGATAAAGATGATGAAGAGGACAGAGCTTTTTGGGAGGAGCCCACACCTTATACTCCAGAGTCTAGATTAGAAGCTCACAGACATCTTGAAGAAAAACGGAGAGTTAAAGAGAATATAAGGTATCTTGGCTTTTACATAAGCCCTAAATTGGGTAAGGGGTAGATTTTCAAAGGTATAAAGTCCAGGTAGTCACCCAAATCCCATTGAAAGTCCAGTGAGAGATGGGTGCTTAATGCCCACTTGTACCAAAATGAAATGCGGTCTACTCTGTGCATTGTTCACTTTTGTTTCTTTGTATTATTCATGATACCTGATACTGTTTTTCCTCCAAATAGTTTTTTTATTTTAATTGGTTGTTTCTATATTCAGCCCCAGTTTATGTTTTTAAAAAGTGCAGTGTTCAGTCATCTTAATACTATCTTCATTGCACTTGAGTGCTTACTTCTGCTATTAAAAGCATTTACTATGAGGGCGTGCAACAGCATTCTACAGAATTTTTGCAGAAGGAGCACTTCATGCATCTTTTCCATATGACTTACAAAATTCCATGCACGTCTCACCATGAAAATTGGTTCTCGAGTAACAAGATCCTGCATGTTGTATGTGCTGTTTGGGTCAGGAGAACAATCTTAATGCATGATCCGTGAAAAGTTATCTAAGTTTTTGTTTGTTTGTTTTTTAGGATGCCACTGGAACTCCACATAACCTGAAACCAATGCATAGATATTTTACTAGATTTATTTTATAGCTATAGGCCGACATTTTCAAAAATGGTGGGTGCCCAAAGTTAGGGTCCTAAATTTATATTTAGGTACCTGAACAAAATTGACCTGCTTCTCAAATGAGCTGAGCACCTTTAGCTCCCCATGATTTCCATGGGGCTTGTGGGTGCTCAGCTGTTCTGAAAATTGGGCCACTTATTTAGGTGTCTGTATATAGATTTAGGTATCTAACTTTAGGCATCCAGGTTTGAAAATGTCAGCTACAGTATTTACACTAATATTCATTGAAAGATATCATAATCACTTATTTAAGGCTTGAAATTATGCTGCGTTGGGTTATGATGCCGTCACATCTAAAATCTAAAGATGGTTGGGTTTAGTCAGTACTAGGGAGATCTCCAAGGAAAATTTAGCTTCTGTAGAAAGTGGTGTTGATGTTCATTAGGTAATACTTTTCCTACTGCGCTAATATTAAATCAATGCCCCAGGATAGTGTTAGAAGCACTCTTCTGGTGCTTTAAGTCTTTTGGATGAGAAGTAATAAGTTCTGACCACTTCTCATTACAAATCCAGTGGCATTTTTGAGTATTAACTCCAGTGTCTAGTCCAAATTCCAGTTTGAATAATTATATTCTTCCTTTCTTAATTTCTCATGGAATTTCAATGAGATGATAAATCCTTCCTGTCCTAAACTAATGTCATGTTTCATTTCACTAGTGGCTAAAGTCACTCATATATACACTGTGAGGGGAGATTCTCGTAGCTAGGGAGTATTGGGGGATATTGTGACTTCAAGGTATCTCAAAGCAGTTTAAACAACTTCCTATTTTCTTTTGGAATTTTACTAATTCATTACATTTTATACGTAAACCACATTAACTAGGTGAATATCGACAAGTTGTGGACTAAGAAAGAATGTGATATTTGCAACATGTTACTTTTAAAGAAAATCTAGTTAGATTTTTTCCATGAGCGAGAATCAAATTCTTACCTGTTGTATCACTAAGATTTCTAGCTGAAAGCAACAAAAATAACCATTAAATATGTAGGCATCTTAAATTATCAAGCAAAATACTAATGATGGAGATCTAGACTCTTTTAGGATGAATTGGTTTGGTCAAAAGTACTGAAGGGGTGGCTTGTTCATTGCACTAATCAAAAGGCTAGGTACAGTTTCACTACTCGTAGGTGGGATTGGGAAGGGAAGGTTGTAGGTAACCCCGATTTTATCGTAGATATGTCTTATGATAACTTTGAAGGAAGAGGAAAACAGTAAAGATGTGCCAAAAAAAACCCCAAACCCACACAGAAACACCACCACCAGATAATTGTTCAAATATTTACATGCATTCACTTTGGTCATACTCATTCCCTTTTTATGTTTACTTCCTGCAAACATTTGAGTAGTCAAGTATGACTAGCACAAAATGTTCCCAGGAAGCATATTTCAAAGGTTCATGCATAAGTATTTGGGAAAACCAATTTTAAATTCACACATACTATTTGCATCAGAAATGCCTGCAGATAATAGTAATGAGACTGCATGATCTATGTGAAAAATCATAACTAGCAGCGCACCTTACATTTCAAATATTTGAGATCAATCCATTAACTAAATTTTTGGGAAAAATAAATATACACATCAGACAAATCTGAGGAAATTGTAATCTGCTCACAGATATTCTGTGAAAAGAAAAAGAAGTTAAGCTCGATGAATAAAGAACATGTTTGCTGAAAATTATTTGCTCACCTTTACTGGCAGGTTAAACTAACTTTTCTAGGGCAAAAGACACATTGTATAACCTGTATTGTTACTAGAGGAGCTTGTCATTTTAAAATAAAAAACTAGATCACATTGAACTTGCTGCCATGTTTCTCTTCATTCTTTCTTTGCTGCTTCACAAAAGGATAAGAATGTGATAATAAACCTTTGTTTCCTTTTCTTTCTCTCTTTTTTTTAATTAAAGAGGGCAAAAAGTGAAAGAGAAGCCACCTAGGACTTTGATCACTGCAGAAGGAAAAGTTCTGAATATGAATGAGCCAAAGTATGTGAGGAAAAATAATAACTTTAAATGAGTGAACTAGTACTTTGCTTTTTATAATAGGGTTGACTGTGTAACTGAAGATATGTGATAATGTAACAGGTCTGACAAATCCTAAAATCCAGTGCAATATTTTGGTTCTGTTGAGGATGCAAGTTTAATTATACCAATATCCTGAAGTTAGGGAATTAATGAATTATCAATCAGTTCAAAAATATTTAGCCACTTGCTCTTTAACATTTAAAGAACTATTTATCTATAAAGATATCAGGTATTTTACTATTTTCCCTTCTGAGGTGTAGGGATCTTGCCTTTGTGGAAACGGGTTAATTATGTTTGACCATTGAAGGTAATTGTATGAACAGGCACTTTAAATGTAGAAAAAATACATCAGAGTAATGTTTCTGGACCAAATCATTGCCTCCACTTGTAGGTGGGATGGAAACCTGGGCGATGGAAGCCCCTCTATTAGAATCAGGTTCAGTAGCAGGGTAGAGAGTGGAGCTGGGGGAAAACTCACCTACATTTTATTGCTGACATAGTTATTATGTGATATCGAAACTTTTCTGGAAGATGTTTCCAGAAGCATCAGCTAGGTGGGGAGCCAACTGCAGCATGGTTCCATTGGAGCTGTGCTGCCTTTTCATTGGGAGAGGGGTAGGAAATAGAGTGGCGGCACAGAGGTTCCCTACAGATTGCCTCTGTCCCCATCAGCTCCCATCTCTTTCTCCTCTCCTCTGGAGGGAATGAAGAAGCCCCATGAAGGGAACCTCAGGATATTTCCTGACCCCATAGACAAGTTTTTCCCATGTTGGGGGTGAATGATACTTTGTGTCTTTTCCTAAGACCAGGTCAGCTGCAAAAAGCAAAGCTAACATAGCTTTTGATGATTAGTATGGAGAGAATGTTGTTACATCTTTGGAAGGACCATCTAAAGCCATGCACATTTAAGGGATTTGGAAACTGGCATTATAATGTTGAGTGGTATGAATGGAATGAATAGCAGTGGCAGAAGTATTGGTGTTTATTCCAAGTATATCAGAAGAAGCTCACCCTTGTATTGATGTCTCCACTTTGTTATAAAAATGTGTTGACAGCAATACAAAAAAAAGAGTAATTTTCTGTGCAAAGACAAGTCTATAATAGCTTAAAATTTTGTGTTGACAGTACTGAATTATGGTTCTGAGAGGTACAGACATTTAGAATAAAGCTCTAGCACTATTCTTTTAGAAATAATGTTGCCCCAGAGTTTTGCGTTGTCAATAGTTACTAGTGGTGTACTATTCATACAGGTCTTCTGCATTGGAATTTATTCAGTGGATTTACGTATATAGGGCCAGATTATGATAGGCATTTGCACAGATGTGTGGGAAGCACACAAAGAGCTTCCACCCCCATATTGCATGGTCTACACCAGGGCCTGTGACAGTTCCGGTGCTCATTGCACCCCTGGTAGTGAATGGTACCTCAAAAAGAACATAGGAGATACATTCACAGCAAGGCACTTGCAATGCACATTCCCTCCCCAGCATGGCTTCTGCATTGCATTGCAGAAGCCTAGTAAAGCAAAGTCAGACTTCCCTCAGTGTTGTCTTTGAATATCTACCAGAAAAATAGCTACATCCTGCATAGAAAGGAAGGATGTTTCTTTGCTAGTCCGGCTGCTATCAAGAGAATGTTGCACTTCCTTTTTCAGCTCTCCATGTGTTGGGGGAATCTGCCTTATAGGAAAGAGACCTGGAAATATCTCTAGTGCTCATGGGAAAAAAGGCATGGAGATTTGGAATCATTCTTTTGTAGTCGTTTTCTCTGCACCTTCCCTTCAAAAGCACTCCTAATCTAGACAGCTCACTGCGGCATAAAGCCTCCTCAGTCTGACCGTATTGAAATAGAGAGGACTAAAAGGTAACAAATATTACGGGCACATACATGTTATAGTTGAGAGACCCATTTATTAAAACTTTTAAGAGCTGAATTTTTCCCATCAATTACCTGAAAGCCAGTGTATCTGAGCTAGCGTGAGTCTAAATAGCAGCATAGCCATCGTAGCATGGCTAGTGGCAGCAAAGGCACAGCTTAGTTGTGCCATGTACGTACCCAACAGTTTCACGTGGGTTTGTGCTCAGGACCCTAAGCCGTGCCTCTGCTGCCACTACCCATGCCACTGTGGCTACACTGCCATCGAGTTAGTGCAAGCATGCGTACGGGCGCAGAGGAATTACACTCCTAGCTCATAGTGTAGATGAAGCCACAGATATATCCACATTTTCTACACTAGAAAAGTTTTCACCAGCAAATGTCTCTGTTCCTGGATTTTAATGAAACTGACCTTGTACTCTACTTTTAATTAGGTTTTCAGTTAAGAAGAAAAAAACCCTGAAAAATAAAACAGAACCCAGTTCAAACATTCATGTAGTGAAGCTGTAGATAATTCTAAAAAGACCATATGAAGTATCTTCTAAATTATGTTGGTATTAATCTAAAAAATGCTAGCTGTTGAATGTAAAGTTATGGAACTGTATGCTCACACAAATCAGTTGTATTTATTCTGAAGGTGTTTTTTATCATTGTTACTAGACTTCATTTCGTTTTGAAAGATGATGAAGAAAACAACCAGTTCATCCTGGATCTTGCTGTTTATAGGTCAGAATTATTTATTATTATGATGTTTGGGAGCAATTGTCATTGCTGTCATACACTGATATGCAGTATTCAAAATCACCCTTCCCCACACACTGAGACTTTGTGAAGGGAACAAATCATGGGGAGAATGGAAGGAATAGAATCCACACCCAAACCTGTGGGCAGGTGGTGGGGTCCTTCATACCTTGAATAGCCATTGTCCTGTATGCTCCTTTTATAGGCGTTCTTTATTGTTGGATCCATGTAAGCACAGTTCCAGTGGTCCTTTCCTGAGTCCACAACAGGGGTTCCTTCAGCACCAACCTATTTAGAGTTATGCAAAATCCCCGTTGCCTTCCTCGTTCCTCCCCCCTGCCCCACAAACCCCCCCACTCTTTAGCTCTTCTATTCATGATTGCTACCCTCTGCACTGCAGTGGAAGAATTTCGGTCCATGTGAGCCCCTGGTAGAGTAAAGCTTGTGCAGTTATTGGTTATACAACATGGACAAAGATATGCTCTAGGAATTATTTTGAGGAAGTTCTATGGCCTGTGTTATATAGGAGGTCAGATTAAATGATCAGATGATCACAATGGTCCCTCCTGGCCTTGGACTCTATAAAACACTCTTGTTGTGCTGGAGGACTTTTCCCCCCTATACTCTGGTATTTCTGAGTTATCAGAATACGACTTTGTTTTAAGCTGTGGAAACGCTGTTCAAGTGTTGACGACAATAAGACTTTGAAGCTGGTATGTAATAGTATATGCTCTTCAGTGAGGATTGCAAACATTGCAAAATTTGAAAAAGTTAGCCAAGTAGTAAAGAAGTTATAATAGAAGGAAGAAGAGAAAGTGATACATTGTACCTTCAGTGATGGGCTGAAGCGTGTATAGATTGCTCAGTCAATAGCAGACGTTAATCAAAGTGGATTCTTTACAGCTTACAAACCTTATTCAACAATATTGAAATACAAAAATGCTGTCTCTAGAGTTGGTGTAGGCGATTACAGTTCACTGAGATCCTGAAAACGGAATGTAAAAAGTTATTCTTCATGTGGGAGTCAGTGTAGCCTAGTGGATAGAACACTAGACTGGGACTTGAGAAATCTGGGTTGTATTGTGAACTTGGCCACTGGCTTGTTAGGTGACTTTGGGCAAGTCACTTCACTTCCCAGTGCCTCAGTTTCCCAATCTGTAAAATGGGGATAATTATATTAACCTTGCATGGTGACAGGTTTCAGAGTGGTAGCCGTGTTAGTCTGGATCAGCAAAAACAATGAGCAGTACTTGTGGCACCTTAGAGACTAACAAATTTATTTGGGCATAAGCTTTTGTGGGCTAAAACACACTTCATCAGATGCATGGACTGGAAAATACAATAGGAAGATATATATAACAGTACATGAAAAGATGGGAGTTGCCTTACCAAATGGGGGGGGGGTCAGTTTTTCGTCCTGTTAATAATAGCACACTTTAATTGAATTGTCTCATTAGAACAATTATTGTTTATTATTTGTATTGCTATAACAATCCAATGTCTAAATAATAATCTTGGCCCCATTGTGCTGGCCACTGTAAAAACACAGTCCCAGTCCCAAAGAGCTTAAATTCTACGATTCTCTCTAGGGCTGTTGATTAATCGCAGTTAACTCATGTGATTAACTCAAATAAATTAATTGCAATTAAAAATTAATCATGATTAATTGCAATTTTAATCACACTTTTAAACAACAGAATACCAATTGAAAGTTATTAAATATTTTGGATGTTTTTCTACATTTTCAAATATTTGATTTCAATTTATAACATAGAATACAAAATATATAGTGCTCACTTTATATTATTATTTTTATTAAAATATTTCCACTGTAAAAATGATAAACAAAAGAAATAGTATTTTTCAATTCACCTCATACAAATACTGTAGTGCAATCTCTATCGTGAAAGTGCAACTTACAAATGTAGATTTTTTTGTTACATAACTGAACTCAAAAACAAAAGAATGTAAAACTTTAGAGCCTACAAATCCACTCAGTCCTACTTCTTGTTCAGCCAGTCGCTAAGAGAAACAAGTTTGTTTACATTTACGGGAGATAACGCTGCCCGCTTCTTATTTATAATGTCACCTGAAAATGAGAACGGGTGTTCGCATGGCACTGCTGTAGTTTGCGTCGCAAGATATTTACATGCCAGATGCGCTAACGATTCATATGCCTCTTCATGCTTTAGCCGTTGTTCCAGAGGACATGCTTCCATGCTGATGATGCTCATTAAAAAAATAATGCGTTAATTAAATTTGTGACTGAACTCCTTGGGAGAGAATTGTATGTCTCCTGCTCTGTTTTACCTGCATTCTACCATATATTTTATGTTATGGCAGTCTCAGATGACGACCCAGCACATGTTGTTCAATTTAAGAACATTTTCACTGCAGATTTGACAAAATGCAAAGAAGGTACCAATGTGAGATTTCTAAAGATAGCTACAGCATTCAACCCAAGGTTTAAGAATCTGAAGTGCCTTCCGAAATCTGAGAGGGATGAGGTGTGGAGCATGCTTACAGAAGTCTTAAAAGAGCAACACTTCGATGCGGAAATTACAGAACCCGAACCACAAAATAAGAAAAAAATCAACTTTCTGCTGATGGCATCTGACTCAGATGATGAAAATGAACATGCGTCGGTCCGCACTGCTTTGGATCATTATCAAGCGGAACCCGTCGTCAGCATGGACGCATGTCCTGTGAAATGGTGGTTGAGTTATGAAGGGACATACGAATCTTTAGCGCATCTGACACGTAAATATCTTGCAATGCTGGCTATAACAGTGCCATGTGAACGCCTGTTCTCACTTTCAGGTGACACTGTAAATAAGAAGCGGGCAGCGTTATCTCCTGCAAAGGTAAACAAACTTGTTTGTCTAAGCGATTGGTTGAACAAGAAGTAGGACTGAGTGGACTTGTAGGCTCTAAAGTTTTACATTGGTTTATTTTTGAATGCAGTTTTTTTTTACATAATTCTACATTTGTAAGTTCAACTTTTATGATAAAGCGATTGCAGTACAGTACTTGTATTAGGTAAATTGAAAAATACTATTTCTTTCTTTTTTATAATGCAAATATTTGTAATAAAAAATAAATATAAAGTGAGCACTGTACACCTTGTGTTCTGTGTTGTAATTGAAATCAACACATTTGAAAATGTAGAAAACATCCAAAAATGGTATTCTATTATTGTTTAACAGAATGATTAATCGTGCGATTAATCATGCTTAATTTTTTAATCGCGCAATTAATCACGATTAATTTTTTTAATTGCTTGACAGCCCTAATTCTGTAACATAACTTAATTACATTAGAGTAATCAAATGGAATTTTTTCAAATTGCAAACCCATAATTAATGAGTTGCATAGTCTTAACTGCTTTCCCCTGAACGATGATGTTAACTTACTTAAACTAAATTCACTTTTATTTAATTCTGAAGACATCTGGACAGCTCTCTAATTGATGTTGATGTCCAGCCAACTTACCTCCGCGTAATGGTGAAGGATAAGGTTCGTATTTTTTTATTACTTTCATTTAAAACTGAGAATTCCACTTTTCATGTCTGTTGTTACTCATTTTCTGGGTTTACTTTTGGCTAATGTAGGGTCTGAATCTTTTCCCATTGAAATCACGGCAAAGCTCTTACTTAGATCAATAGAAGCAAGACTAGACTCTTAGGAACTGATCCAGTGCTTGGTAAAGTTAATTGGAATCTTGCCATTGAATTCAATGGACACTCAGATCCTCAAAGGTATTTAGGTGCCTAACTCCCATTGAAACCAATCAGTTAATTTCACTGTAACTTAGGCACCTAAATACCTTTGAGGATTTGGGCCTTACTGGCTTGTAACTTCACACCAAAAAAAATAAAAATAAAATAAAGGCATAGGTCTAACTGATTGGTAACCACATAAGTCTGAATAGAAATCAATAGTGTCATTAGGTTAGGAAATCAACATAAACGTTCAAAAGTACTCACAAACCCTTTTTTAAATGTATTGCTCCAAGTGGTGTGTAACCACACAGAAAAAAGCCACTTACCACACTGATACTATTTGTGACCAAGAAGTGAACTGGGGAGGTATGGACAGTGAAATATACTGGATTCTCCTCACAACTTTTTTACACCACAGTAACTTCACTTCAGTAGAGATACTGCTTGTTTATACCAAGTAAAGTGAGACTAGAATTAGACCTACAATCTGTAATTTACAGAGGACAGAGAGAGCTGGATGTATATTCAGCTGAAAGCCCCTTTTAAGAGACCTTCCATTTTCTGTCATTTTTGGTGATTTTTTTGTTTGTTTTTCAATTTAAACTGAAAACCAGAATCCCGATTTATAATTATACCAGTTGCATAAGCACAAATTTCAAAATTACTTTCTCTGAAATAGATTGTTAGTCTTTCTCATTTCATTGCTAGTATAACTCAAACATCATTTCATATCTTTCTTTAAAAGTGTCACTTTTCTATTACAGCAATTCAGGCAAGCATATTATATATATTACACACACATATATAATGTAAATGAAGGTTGTTTAACATGCAGATCAGTTATTTGGATTAGTATTAATATATATTACATGAGAGGATTCAGACCTATCCTATCCTTCAGATCAAAGTATATGTTAATGGAATTTCTGTATGTTTTCTATCTGGGTAAAAAAATATTTTAATACGATATATTCTATTCTATTTTCCTTTAGCCATTTCAACTTGTGCTTCCTGCAGAGGTGAAGCCAGATAGCAGCTCTGCTAAAAGATCTCAGACAACTGGACATTTAGTTATCAGCATGCCAAAGGTATGTAAATTCATTTGGACAGGCACCATACAAAGCTACTTGTGTATCAACAGTACTCTGAGAAAGATTTATAGATTGTACCTGAAATACATTACTAGCTAATGAAATCAGGTCAACATTTGCTGTCAGAACTCATCTATTAGAAAGAGCTTTTCATACAGACAGAATAATCATGTGGTTCAGACCTAAGATTCTCTTTCTTTCTTTCTTTCTTTCTTTCTTTCTTTCTTTCTTTCTTTCTTTCTTTCTTTCTTTCTTTCTTTCTAAGTTTACTAAAAATAATCCTTTTAGAACTGTTTAACTGTATTATTCTATTTGAAAC